AATTCTTACATCAATAAAGTGGAGAAAGAGCAGATCAATGAATTGGGCATGCAAATTGAAAAAAAAAACAGAAAAAGAATTAAAAATCCATAATTGAGCACCAATTTGAAAACCAAAGGTGACAGCAATAAAACTGGAAGTAAGAAAACTACTGCACTAATAAATAAAACCAGGAGCTGGTTTTACGGGAAAAAAATAAGATAGATAAACATTGTTTAATTTGATTTGGAAAAAAAAGAAAAAGAAAACCAAATTTCCAGTATCAAAAATGAAAAGGGTGAATTCACCACCAATCATTAGGAAATATTTTGCCAAGTATATTATTGCAAATAAATCTGACAATCTAAGCAAAACCAATGAATATTATGAAAATATAATTCGCCCCCATTAATAGAAGAGTAAATAGAATATTTAAATAACCCTATCTTAGAAAAAGAAATTTAACAAGCCATCAGTGAACTCCCTAAGAAAAAATCCCCAGGGCCAGAATTATTTACAAGTGAATCCTAGTAAACATTTAAAGAACAATTAATTCCAATGCTGTATAAATTATTTGGAAAAACAAGCGGAGTGGAGTCTACCAAATTATCTTAAAACACAAACATGGTGCTGATACCTAAACCAGGAAGAGCCAAAACAGAGAAAGAAAATTATAGACCAATTTCCCTAATGAATATTGATACATAAAATTTTAAACAAAATATTAACAAGGAGATTACAGCAATATACCACAAGGATCATACACTATGACCAGGTGGGATTTATACCAGGAATGCAGGCCTGGTTCAATATCAAGAAAACTATCAGCATAATGTTGACCATATCAATAACAAAACCAATAGAAATCATATGATTATCTCAATAGATGCAGAAAGAGCTTTTGACAAAATACACCACCCATTCCTATTAAAAACACTAGAGAACATAGAAATATACGAAGCTCTCCTTAAAATGGTAAGTAGTATTTATCTAAAACTATCAGTAAGCATTATCTGTAATGGAGACAAGCCAGAAGCCTTTCCAATAAGACCAGTGTGAAGTAAGGATGCCCATTATCACCACTATTATTCAATATTGTACTAGGAATGTTAGCTATAGCAATAAGAGAAGAAAAAGAAATTGACTAGGCAATGAAGAAACAAAATTATCACTCTTTGAATATATATGATGGTATACTCAGAGAATCCTAGAGAATCAATTAAAAAACTACTTGAAATAATTAACTTCAGCAAAGTTTTAAGAAACTCCATTTAAAATAACTGTAGACAATATAAAATACTTGGAAGTCTACCTGCCAAGACAAACCCAGGAACTACATGAACACAATTATAAACATAATTATAAAACACTGCAAACAAACAAGATCAGATCTAAAAAAATGGAAGAATAGCAATTATTCATAGGCAGGCCAAGCCAATAAGATAAAAATGACAATTCTGCCTAAATTAATTTACTTATTCAGTGCCATACCAAACTACCAAAAAGTTATTTTATAGGCCTGAAAAAATAATAACAAAATTCATTTGGAAGAACAAAAGGTCCAGAATATCAAGAAAATTAATGAAAAAAAATGCAAAGGAAGGTGGCCTAACCATATCACTTCTCAAACTATATTATAAAGTGGTAACCATCAAAACTATCTAGTACTGGCTAAGAAATAGTGGTGGATCAGTGGAATAGATTAGGTATACAAGACACAGTTGTAAATGACCACAGTAACCTAATATTTGATAAACCCCAAGACCTCAGCTTCTGTGATAAAAACTCACTATTTGACAAAAACTGCTCAGAAAACTAGAAATAACATGACCGAAACTTAGTATAAACCAACATCTCACCCCATATACCAAGATAAGGTCAAAACGGGTACATGATTTAGACATAAAGAGTGACACTATAATCAAATCAGGACAGCAAAGAATAGTTTTCCTGTCAGATCTATGGAGAATGACCAAAGAAGAGATAAAGAGCATTACAAAGTATAAAATGAATTATTTTGATTATATTAAATTAAAAAGGTTTTGCACAAACCAAACCAATGCAACCAAGATTAGAAAGAAAGCAGAAAGGTGGGAAACAATTTTTAAATCAAGTGTTTCTGACAAAGGACTCATTTCTCAAACATATAGAGAACTGAGTCAAATTTACAAGAACAGAAATCATTCCCCAATTGATAAATGGTCAAAGAATATGAATAGGCAGTTTTCAGATAAAGAAATTAAAGCTTCATATAGTCATATGAAGAAATGCTCTAAATCACTATTGATTAGAGAAATGAAGATTAAAAACAACTCTGAGGCACCACCTCACACCTATCAGACTGGCTAATATGACAGGAAAGGAAAATGATGAATAGTGGAGAGGATGTGGGAAAATTGGGATACCAATGCTTTGTTGATGAGTTGTGAACTGATGCAACCATTCTGGAGAGCAATTTGGAACTATGGCCAAAGGGCTATAAAACTGTGCATACCCTTTGATCCAACAATAGCATTACTAAGTTTATATCCTAGGGAGAGACAGAAGGAGGGAGGGGGAGAGGGGGAGAGGGAGAGAAAGAGAGAGAGAGAGAGAGAGAGAGAGAGAGAGAGAGAGAGAGAGAGGATCTATTTTACAAAAATATTTGTGGCAGTTCTTTTGGTGGTGGCAAAGAATTGGAAATTGAGGGGATGATCATCAATTAGGGAATGGCTGAACAAGTTGTAGTATATGATTATAATGGAATACTATTGTGGTATAAGAAATTCAGAAACACCTGGAAAGACTTACATGAACTGACGCCAAGTGAAGTAAGCAGAACCAGGGTAACACTGTATGTACACGGTAACAGCAATATTCTATAATGATCAACTGTGAATGACTTAGCTCTTCTGAGCAATACAATAATCTGAGATAATTCCAAAGGACTCATGATGGAAAATGCTATCAATATCCAGAGAAAAAACTAATGGAGTCTGAATGCAGATCAAAGCATACTATTTTCACTTTTTTTTGGTGGTCCTTTTCTTTTGGCCCATTTCTTCTTTCACAACACAATTAATATGGAAATATGTTTTACATGCTTGCACATACACAACCTATATCAAATTGCTTACTATCTTAGGAAGCAATAGTAAGGGTGGGAAGGAGATAAATTGGAACTCAAAATTTTTTTAATGAACATTAAAAATTGTCTTTACATGTAATTGGAAAAATAAAATACGATAAATAAATAAATAGATGAATAAATAAATAAATTAAAAGGCTTTTCTGAAGACCATAAAAGTAAAGGGACAATTATTCTTTCCATATTTCTGTAATGTCCTTAAAAGTTATCAATTCTGAAATTTCTCTTAACAACAGGAATTAATGAAAGTGGAAGGGCATAAAGAAATTACCTATATATGTAGAATCACCTTAGTAATTTCAAAATAACTTATGGCATTATATAAGTATTCTGTTGAACCAAAAAGGTATGGCTGGTCTTAAATACCTCATTTTTCAATATAAGTGCTGTGATTTCAGATGTGATTCTATTTTCTGTGATTAATTTTATGTTCAATTAGCCCTGCCCATACCAAATATCTTATTTAACAAAAAAAGAAACAACATGATTAAATGTCAACTAGCAAATATTAAATCCTTACCCCCATGGTTCCCAAACTATGTGCACAGGGGTGGCACAAGGTGTTTTAAATTTTCAAGGCAAACAGTGATACTCAACATCTGTCAGACACCTTGAGAATTACTACCATGAGGTAGTTCACAGATCCAACATTAGATCAAGCTACACTGCTATTGATGACATTCTCAAATATTTTATATACACTGTTGTTTACTGGCACTTTCAGCTATGCCAGCAACTTTTCAAGCTCTGCAAAGCTGAGTTTGCATCTGTTGCTATTAAGAAAAAAAAAGTACCTTGTGGAAATCACCATAGAAAAGGAAATGAGGAAGGGAATGTCACATTTGATTCTAAGATTTGAGAACTTGTGCAATGCCCAGTAGGTGTATATGTCCGTCATAAGTAATTGTGGTTATTTAAGAATGAAACAGGGGCAGCTGGGTGGCACAGTAGATAGAGCACCAGCCCTGAAGTCAGGACAACCTGAGTTCAAATGCAGCCTCAGACACATGACACTCACTAGCTGTTGACACTGGGCAAGTTACTTAACTCTGACTGCCTTGTTAAAAAAAAAAATGAAACAAAAATATAATTTTTTCTTTCAATTTATGTGTATTATTTTTTCAAATGGCTACTAAGTTGTTAGGATATATTAAGTCTTTAGGACCTAACTAGTTAGTAAACTGAACTATTAGGTATTTATTTTAGCCTAGGGTCACTATGAAGAAATTCCTGAGATGACAAGGGCACCATGAAAAATTTAAGAATCTCTGACTGACTCTACTATAAATTTATCAAACTCTAAAATCGTATTTATAATTAAAGAATACCATATCTCAAATACTTTTAAATGGCCAACAACTTTCATTTTAATAAAATTTTAGTGAGTTATGAACCCAATTTTGCAGACTTTAACTGGAGGAATTTATATATACTCAATAAACAGAAGTATACAAACGCATGTTAATTTCACAGTTATAACCAATATAACTCTGAATTGGCTTCCAAATCATTTTATACCTAATTTACTGAGAAAAAGTAACACATTCACAATAGCAGTTCTTTCCCATCATCTGAAATAATGACAAAACAACATATTAACAGCACTACCTGAATGCCATGTCTACAAAGTCAAGGATTATAGCTAAAATATCTTCTCCGATGGCTCTCTCTTCTACAATCCTCTTCTCCATCTCTACTTAGCACTAAGTGCACACACTGAACTGGACAATTGAGATTTTAAATCAAAAAGGCACATTTTTAAAAGTGTTCAGCTTAAATATTAGACATATGATTAAAACTCATTATAGCTCAAACTATAGCACAATTATATCCATTACTATTTAAAAATCAGATACATTGAAAAATGTTTTGAAGTAAAGAACAAATTTTTTACCTTTGATATCACCTCCAGCACTGAAAGCCTTTCCTCCAGCTCCCTTTATAATTATTAAAGAAGTTTCTGGCTCTTGTTCCCATTTCTATTCAAATACAAAAGAAGAAGCTAAGAATAGCAACTGACATTCATCTAATACTTTAAAGTTTCTTTTTTCTGTGTAAAAGTATAATTTTCCCGGTATAGCATAAAGTCTTTGAAGACAAAGTCTATTTGATTTTCTTTGGCACAAAGAAAGGTATCATGGGAGAAGAGGTATATTATATTTTGAAAAATCAAAACAATTTTTTAAAAAATAAAAGAGCTACAAACCTTTAACTGTGAATAAATCTGTCGAAACATGGAGAGAGTCAATGAGTTCAGACTCTTTGGTCTGTTTAATGTCACCACTCCTGCACAGCCTTTTCTTTCTAATAATACTTCTGGTTCTGAGTCTGTGTGCTTAGACATTCCCTTTACGAACAAAAGACAAAAATTTTATGATGGTGTTAGGGGTTTTTTTTAGTTTTGGTATGTATTACAATATAATTATTTTCTTTCCTACAATTTTGCTGGTTGTTATAAATAAATAGAATCAGGTATACTAAATTTCACAAACTTTTCCTGAAATCTTCTGAATACTTACATTCTACAAATAAATTATTTTTCTAAAGCAAGCTATATATGGTGTAATATCTTTCATATTTCTATTTATTGATTTATAGTATTGTATGCAATTAGGATAGTATTTGCTCCCTGGATCAGATAAACACTGAAGTATTTATGCAATTGTCTACTGCCTTAAACCCTTATAATTTGATTGTCATTTTTCATTGCTCACTAAGAGTATGACACTGGATACACTAGCACCTGTTAGGATCACAATGTGTGAACTGTAAGTCCAGAACTTTGCTGTGCTCAACTGTAGGATTTGTGGCACATTTTAACACACTCAAAACATTCCTTCTTCTAACCGCAAGGGTTACCAATATTACATGGAAAGGAATTATAGCACACGATTAAAATAAGCTTTTAAAATTCAATACTGGAATGCTAAGGAAAACTATAGGGAGAACAGCAAAGCCACACACCAAGAAACCTAAACAAAAGGTCAAAATTACATAAAACTAAGAAATGAACCATTAATTTCTTTAAAATGTGGTTGTATACTTTAAATATTGAGGATTTTTAAAATCCCTTTTAAATTTTAATTTTTTTTAATTGCAGAGAAAATTATAAGGGGGAATGGAAAGTAGTATTAGTGATTGCCCCCCAAAAGAAAAGAATAACAATGCAACATTTAAAAATGCACAAAAGAGTGCAACAGCATATTCAAAAAAGGATACAGATAAGCAGAACAGGCATAGTATTACCATATTATATTTATTGTATACTTTTAAAAGAATATTTCATACAAGATATAGATTCATAATTTCATATATTAAGAAATCCAAAATCAGTCCCTAACAAATGAAAATTGTTATTATACATTCAAAAAGGCATTGAGTAATAGACTGTGCTTAATAGTACAGTATTAATATGCATGTCTAGAAAAAACTATGTTTATAGTTTCCACCACACATCTTAAAAGAATTTTCTTTGTCGCCACCTCCTCAGGAAAAAAAAAAACACATTACAAACAAAAATGTTTAAAACAGTGAGAAAGTCACAAACATTTAGATATCTCAAAGTAAGGTTTTATAGTGTATGACATGGACACAATCAAAAGGCACATTTGCCAACTGAAAAAGAAAGCCAATCTAAATAGACATGATTCAGACTACTATACAAATGCAATAGTATTTGCAATATAATTGTAAAAGAATAATCTTTGGAATTAGGTGTATTCTAATTTAATTAATTAGGTTTACAAGATCAAGATAAGTACCAGATACCACCCATTCTTTCCTCACACAAAACACCATTAAGTACAGCCAAGTATAACTAGAAAGGGTGTGTATGTGTGTGTGTGTGTGCACCACACTCTTTTCCAACAAGCCCTAACACCACCACCTCGCCATCCTACAGTAAGTAACCAGTCTCTTCCACTGTAAACCCTGCTTTTAGCCTCAGGAAAAGCAACACCAGCAACACCTCCTTTTCTACTAGGAGCCCTACTTGTCACCTACCTCTGAGAAGCTCTCCCTAAGGCTAAACACCTACCAGTTAAACAGGGCTCCCCCATACCAATCAGGCCACTAGGAGTTCCAATTCTCACTTCTGCACAAAACCAAAGTATCCCACTCTAATTTGAAACAGTAGCTCAAACTTACACTTCAGCCACAACTGCCAGAACCTCCCTGCGTACAAGTCCCTTCTCTGAAAAGAAAAATCAGTAATAAAGTTGTTGTTGTTGAACGTAATCCCAAGAATTTCTGTAGCATGAAGAGCTATGGGATGAAATCCTTCTTAAGTCCAAGTAGAAGCATCAAAAGACAAGATAGAAGCACTAAAGGAAAAACTAAGTTGAATAATGTATTAAAAGAATATATTAAGAAGGACAGTATTCTCACAGTGAAGACAGAGCCAACCTCAGTTTCAGAAAAAGCAGAGTTCAAGTCCCACCTATAACACATACTAAGCACACTGCTTCACTTTGTACCTCCCCTGGCTACTCAACTTTCTAACGTTCTTCTTACCTTTGAGATTTAAACTTAGAAGCTCTGAGTTAGAGGGTATGGACATTTTAATCACTTTATTTGCATGATTCTAAACTGCTTTCCAAAATGACTGTACTGATTCACAGCTCTGCCAACACTATATTACTGTTCTCATCTTTCCACAACCACTCCAATATTGACTACTCTAATATTTTGTCATCTTTCTTAATTTGCAAGGTGTGAGGTGGATGCTAAGGGGATGGTTGGGTATTTTTTCCTAAAGTAGACAAGATTTGTGAGTACACAAGAAAAGACCCTAACTATGAATGACAAAAACATATATTTATTAAGCTACAGAATTATAAAGACAAAAAATTCTCAAACTGTAAAATAATTATATTTATTTAAAAAGCAATTAAAATAACAGTGAACTTTTCAAAAAAGGAGGAAACATTAAAATGGGATTAAAAATAAGGATGTGGGGCAGAGCTAAGATGGCAGAATAAAAGCAGTGACTTTTTGAGCTCTCCCCCAAACCCCTTCAAATACCTGTTAAAAAATGGCTCCAAACAAATTCTAGAGCAGCAGAACCCACAAAAAGACAGAATGAAACAAACTTCCAGCCCAAGATAACTTGGATGGTTGATTGGAAAGGTCTATTGCACCAGGCTAGGAGAGGAGTACAGTTCAGCATGGGCGTGAAGGCAAAAACCAAGACTCAGTGAATCTGAAGCAGGCCTCAGGGGACTGAATCAAGGGGAGCTGTGGTGGTTTCCAGACTTCTCAACCCACAAATGCCAAAGACAACTTAGAAGGTCAGTAGGAAAGGTTTGTTGGACCACAGTGAGAGGAAAGCTTGGTTCGGCCCCAATCCCAGCACAACCCTTGGGCAGTGGATGTTTCCAGAGCCCTTAGCCTACAGGAGAGGGAATTGATAAGAGGAGGATTGCAGGGATCTCTCTGCTCGTGCTGAGGCAGGAATCTCTTGCTTTGCCCTTGCCTGGATCTGGGTCACAGCTCTGGGTGGTGGTTTTGGGGCAAGAAGGAGCACTGGCTTGGTACAGCTTGTGGTGGCAGGAGAGAGGGAATCCTCCTCACAGTTCCAGTGCAGAACTCATAGACCAGAGCACAGGCCAGGAAAGGAGTAAACACCTCACCCTTGATCATAACACCTTGGAAGAACTGAAAATTTACAGGTCCCTAGTAGTATCTCTGAAAACAGCTGCACAAAACCCCTGAAGCTTGGGACAGTACATTCTCCACACTGGAAGCAGACCCCTACCTTAACAAAGAGTTTAAAACTCAAATAATTGGCTGAGAACATGAGCAAACTGCACAAAAAAAGTCAGACCACAGAATCTTTCTTTGGTGACAAAGAAGATCAAAACATACAACCAGAAGAAGACAACAAAGTCAAAGCTCCTACATCCAAAGCCTCCAAAAAAAATACGAATTGTTCCCAGGCCATGGAAGAGCTCAAAAGGATTTTGAGAAGCAAGTAAGAAAAGTAGAGGAAAAAGTGAGAAGAGAAATGAGAGTGATGCAAGAAATTATGAAAAACAAGTCAACAGCTTGCTAAAGGAGACTCCAAAAAAAACCTGAAGAAAATACCTTAAAAAAATAGCAAAATGGCAAAAGAGGTCCAAAAAGACAATGAGGAGAAGAACGCCTTAAAAAGCAGAATTGGCCAAATGGAAAAGGAAGTCCAAAAGCTCACTGAAGAAAATACTTCCTTAAAAATTAGAAGGGAGCAAATGGAAGCTAATGACTTTATGAGAAATCAAGACATTGTGAAACAAAACCAAAAGAATGAAAAAAATAGAAGTCAACGTGAAATACCTCACTGGAAAAACAACTGACCTGGAAAATAGATCCAGGAGAGATAATTTAAAAATCACTGGACTATCTGAAAGCCATGATCAAAAAAAGAGCCTAGACATCATCTTTCAAGAAATTATCGGCTTAGATTCTTAAAATCTAGCCACTGCTCAGATTTTTACAATCTAGCCAATAGCTCATAGATGCTCAGATTCCTTAAGAGTCTGGCTAATATAGCGAATCTTTAATAAACCTTGTCTTTGGCTGAAAGAAGGCTTGGGTCAAATTCTTTCAGGCAGAACCCACGTGTCGTGATTTTGGGGCCTCTGTACCCCTAAGCGTCAACATTTTGGTGGCCTGTATGGGGAAACTACCTAACCTCAAGCTCTTCTGCAGCCAAGAAGATATATAAGCCTACCCCCTTCTTTCTTGCTCGGCAGTTGGGGTCACTCTCCAAGCACCAAGGCTTAGAGGTACTTTTCACACAGACAGTTATGAGGTTGTCTCACACTCGGCCTGACACTCCCAGGCTCTTGGTCCACTGGTTCAGTTCAAGGCCGTGGACCTGGGTACACCTTCTGCAGCATAGAGGACAAGGACAGACTCCCTATCTGGAAGCATATGCTCAATTCTGTCATTTCTCTAGGCGCTAGGGAATTGGAAAAACTACAGTTGCTTTTTGGTTCCCTGAGGCTTACTTACTCCCTTCCCTCTACACCCCTGAATCCTCCTTCATGGAGGTTATGGGGAAAAGTTAGAACAGCTAACTTAGCAGATGCTGGAAGTTTTATGATCGATCGTTAAGGAATGTTTCAAAACTCTGTACAACCTGGTCACTCCCTTCCCTTGAGTCAAGAGGGTATCTGTTAACCCCTCTCATAGGAGAAGAGAGTTTCACCCTCACCTTTGATTTCATCCTCCCCCATCCGGGAAAGGAAGGAGGGGGGAGGGGCAGCAGCTACAGCGTGGGCCCCCCTGGCAATGGCCTTGGGCCCTGGGGCAACCTTTGCCTGGAAGCATCACTCAGGTTCAGCACATCCTGCTCAAGGTAAAGAA